CTGTGAAAAGATACCCCACGTCCAAGGTAAGAGAAACCCAAGTAAGACGGTAGGTGTTGCGAAAGGGCATCAGAGGGCAGACACACTAAAACCATAATCACAGAAAACTAGCCAATCTGATCACAGGACCACAGTCTTGTCTAACTCAATGAAACTAAGCCATGCCGTGTGGGGCCACCCAAGACAGTCAGGTCATGGTGGAGAGGTCTGACAGAATGTGGTCCACTGGAGAAGGGAATGGCAAACCACTTCAGTATTCTTGCCTTGAGAATCCCATGAACAGTATGAAAAGGCAAAATGATAGGATACTGAAAGAGGAACTCCCCAGGTTGGTAGGTGCCCAATATACTACTGGAGATCAGTGGAGAAATAACTCCAGAAAGAATGAAGGGATGGAGCCAAAGCAAAAACAATACCCAGTTGTGGATGGGACAGGTGATAGAAGCAAGGTCCGATGCTGTAAAGAGCAACATTGAATAGGAACTTGGAATGTTAGGTCCATGAATCAAGGCAAATTGGAAGTGGTCAAACAGGAGATGGCAAGAGTTGAACGCCGACATTCTAGGAATCAGTGAACTAAAATGGACTGGAATGGGTGAATTTAACTCAGATGACAATTATATCTACTACTGTGGGCAGGAATCCCTTAGAAGAAATGTAGTAGCCATCATAGTCAACAAAAGAATCCAAAATACAGTACTTGGATGCAGTCTCAAAAATGACAGAATGATCTCTGTTCGTTTCCAAGGCAAACCATTCAATATCACAGTAATCCAAGCCTATGCCCCAACCAGTAATGCTGAAGAAGCTCAAGTTGAACGGTTCTATGAAGACCTACAAGACCTTTTAGAACTAACACCCAAAAAAGATGTCCTTTTCATTATAAGGGACTGGAATGCAAAAGTAGGAAGTCAAGAAACACCTGGAGTAACAGACAAATTTGGCCTTGGAGTATAGAATGAAGCAGGGCAAAGGCTAATAGAGTTTTGCCAAGAGAACGCACTGGTCATAGCAAACACCCTCTTCCAACAACACAAGAGAAGATTCTATACATGGATAGCACCAGATGGTCAACACCGAAATCAGATTGATTATATTCTTTGCAGCCAAAGATGGAGAAGTCTATACCGGGAGCTGACTGTGGCTCAGATCATGAACTCCTTATTGCCAAATTCAGACTTAAGTTGAAGAAAGTAGGGAAAACCACTAGACCATTCAGGTATGACCTAAATCAAATCCCTTATGATTATACTGTGGAAGTGAGAAATAGAGTTAAAGGACTAGATCTGATAGACAGAGAGCCTGATGAACTATGGACAGAGGTTCATGGCATTGTATAGGAGACAGGGATCAAGACCATCCCCATGGAAAAGAAATGCAAAAAGGCAAAATGGTTGTCTGAGGAGGCCTTACAAATAGCTGTGAAATGAAGAGAAGTGAAAATCAAAGGAAAAAAGGAAAGATATTCCCATTTGAATGCAGAGTTCCAAAGAATAGCCAGGAGAGATAAGAAAGCCTTCCTCAGCGATCAATGGAAAGAAATAGAGGAAAACAATAGAATGGAAAAGACTAGAGATCTCTTCAAGAAAATCAGAGATACCAAGGGAACATTTCATGTAAAAATGGGCTCAATAAAGGACAGAAATGGTATGGACCTAACAGAAGCAGAAGCTATTAAGAAGAGGTGGCAAGAATACACAGAAGAACTGTACAAAAAAGATCTTCATGACCCAGATGATCACAATGGTGTGATCACTCACCTAGAGCCAGACATCCTGGAATGTGAAGTCAAGTGAGCCTTAGGAAGCATCACTACAAACAAAGCTAGTGGAGGTGGTGGAATTCCAGTTGAGCTATTTCAAATCCTGAAAGATGATGCTGTGAAAGTGCTGCACTCAATATGCCAGCAAATTTGGAAAACTCAGCGGTGGCCACAGGACTGGAAAAGGTCCGTTTTCATTCCAATCCCAAAGAAAGGTGATCCCAAAGAATGCTCAAACTACCACACAATTGCACTCATCTCACACACTAGTAAAGTAATGCTCAAAATTCTCCAAGCCAGGCTTCAGCAATACGTGAACCATGGACTTCCAGATGTTCAAGCTGGTTTTAGAAAAGGCAGAGGAACCAGAGATCAAATTGTCAATATCCGCTGGATCATCGAAAAAGCAAGAGAATTCCAGAAAAGCATCTATTTTTGCTTTATTGACTACACCAAAGCCTTCGACTGTGTGGATCACAATAAACTGTGGAAAATTCTGAAGGAGATGGGAATACCATACCACTTGACCTGCCTCTTGAGAAACCTGTATGCAGGTCAGGAAGCAACAGTTAGAACTGGACATGGAACAACAGACTGGTTCCAAATAGGAAAAGGAGTATGTCAAGGCTGTATATTGTCACCCTGCTTATTTAACTTTTATGCAGAGTACATCATGAGAAATGCTGGGCTGGAAGAAGCACAAGCTGGAATCAAGATTGCCGGGAGAAATATCAATAACCTCAGATAGGCAGATGACACCACCCTTATGGCAGAGAGTGAAGAGGAACTAAAAAGCCTCTTGATGAAAGTGAAAGAGGAGAGTGAGAAAGTTGGCTTAAAGCTTAACATTCAGAAAACTAAGATCATGGCATCTGGTCCCATCACCTCATGGGAAATGGATGGGGAGACAATGGAAACAGTGTCAGACTTTATTTTTTTGGGCTCCAAAATCACTGCAGATGGTGACTGCAGCCATGAAATTAAAAGACTCTTATCCCTTGGAAGGAAGGTTATGACCAACCCAGACAGCATATTAAAAAGCAGAGACATTCCTTTGCCAACAAAGGTCCGTCTAGTCAAGGCTATGGTTTTTCCAGTGGTCATGTATGGATGTGAGAGTTGGACTGTGAAGAAAGCTGAGTGCCGAAAAATTGATGCTTTTGAACTATGGTGTTGGAGAAGACTCTTGAGAGTCCCTTGGACTGCAAGGAGATCCAACCAGTCCATCCTGAAGGAGATAAGTCCTGGGTGTTCATTGGAAGGACTGATGCTGAAGCTGAAACTGCAATACTTTGATCACCTCATGCAAAGAGTTGACTCATTGGAAAAGACTCTGATGGTACGAGGGGTTGGGGGCAGGAGGAGAAGGGGACAACAGAGGATGAGATGGCTGGATGGCATTGCCGACTCTATGGGCATGAGTTTGAGTAAACTCTGGGAGTTTGTGATGGACAGGGAGGCCTGGTGTGCTGTGATTCATGGGGTTGCAAAGAGTTGGACACGACTGAGCAACTGAACTGAACTGAACTGAACTGAAGGACAGAGCAAATCTAAAAAGGCCTGGATAAGAGCTTATCCAGGTAGTATCCAGGGAGTAGACATTTGTCAAAATGTGCCCAACTGAAGTTGAATTTGTTTCAATATTGCTTCTGTTTTTTGTTTTGGTTTTTCTGGCCCCGAGGCATGTGGGATCTTAACTCCCTGACCAGGGATCTAACCTGCACTTCCTGTATTGGAAGGTGAAGTCCCAACCACTGGACCACCAGGGAAGTCCCCATTTTTTGGATTTTGAAGGCAACCTGTGAGCCATTTGGGCTCCCCAGATGGCGCTAGTGGTAAAGAATCTGCCTGCCAATGCAGCAGGTTCAATCCTTGGGTCGGGAAGGTCCCCTGAAGGAGGGCAAGGCAACCCACTCCAGTATTCTTGCTTGGAGAATCCCATGGACAGAGGAGCCTGGCAAGCTACAGTCCATGGGGTTGCAAAGAATCGGACACAACTGAAGCAATTTAGCACATATACATGAATGTGGGCCTGCGTGTGGGCCATTTGGCTGTGCCCTCCCAAAGCCTTTACCAAGGAACCTGTAAGGCCACCAGGTATGGGTGGGGGCCCCTGACCTCATCTCCTAACAGACCCAATGACACTCAGTGTTTGAGGCCAATAGCAAAGCTACAGAGAGCCCAGGGGGCAGACCACAAAGCAGAGAGCCAGGGTTCTGGACAAAGCCAAGCCCTCCTCTCTGCACATGACAATTCCTCTTTCCAAGAAACAGTTCCTGACTACTACTGGGTCTTGGTGGGGACTGTACGCCTGGCTGGGATGTCAGCAAAATGCAGTCCTGAGATCAGTGCATGATGGACTGAGTGTGAGCTGGCCTACCCTTCCATGAAGTCGGGTCTACATGGCTGCATTCTGTCATCTCACAGAGGTGATGTGTGGGAGCCTGAGAAAGCCCAGAAGGCGCATGTCAGTTGAGTGAACAGGTGGCAAAGACCCTGCAACATGTCCTCTTGCTTGTGAACTCCTTTCCCTCCATTGACACCTCCTGGGACGTTCCCAGGGACCAGATGGTCAAGGCAGCCTGATTTCAGATTGTTCTCTGTGATGCACTGGCTCTGCTGAGAGCAGGCTATGAGGGCATGACAGCTCCAATGTCAAGTGTCTCTGGAAGACAGCGGGGAAGGGAAACCATCCCCATGGATGGCACTTGAGCAGAATGACTGATGATTGCTTTTCTGGATTGAAAGACATGCAGAAGAATTCACCTACACGAGTGATTCTTCCCCTTCCCCTACCACTTTGGGGACCTTTGGCAACACATTTGTTTGTCATATTTAGGTGGAGGGAGCTACTGGCCTCTACGGAGTAGAGGTCAGCGAGGGACCTCACTGCACTTCTTATAATGCACACAGGACTTTCCCCTAAAAAAAAGGATGGTCTAACCCCAAATGTGATTAGCGCCACTGTAGAGAAATCCCAATCCAACATATATATGTATGGTTGAGTCCCTTCACTGTTCACCTAAAACTAACTCAACATTGTTAATTGGCTATACTCCAATACAAAATGTTTTTGGTGTTTAAAAAATATATAAGATTTAAAAAAGAGAGAGAGAGAGAAAAGAAATCCCATCCACACCGAATTATGGGCAGGGGCAAACAGTTTATTGGATGGTCAGGAACTTGAAAAGAACAGGATTCAAAGATCTGTGACCAGGAGATGTGGTGACAAGGGAAGATGTCTGTAGACAGCTCTCTTAATGTATGGAGATATCGTGTCCCATGTTTATTAGAACATGGGACATTAGAAATACCTCATTCAGGGACTTCCCTAGTGGTCCAGTGGTTAAGACTCCAGACTTCCAGTGCAGGCGGCTCAGGCTCCATCCCTGGTCAGGGAACTAAGATTCCACAAGCCCAGGTGGCCAACTGCTTTTCTTTTTTTAAAGAAAGAAATGCAGAGATCTCAGGCTGCCCCACACCTAAGTCAGAATCTGCTTTAAAGATTCCGGGGGACTTGTGTGCATCTTACAGTTTGAGAGGTCTTCAACCTGAGAGTAGGCTGTCCGGAGGTGCCCATTCTGCAGTCGCTGGCAGTTCTGATGGTGTCTGAATGTCACGTTGAGTTGAGAGTGTGGGAGGAGGTTTTGCTTATGAGATGGAACCCAGTGCTCCTAAAGGGGCCAGCGGGACCACCAGGGCGCTAGTGGGCATCCAAGCGCCCTCTCCTCAAGGGGCTGGGGGAGAGGGATGGGGGCACAGGTGGGAGGCCAGGGCAGAGCCGCCACCGGCATCCCAGGGAGGCAAGTTTGCTTCAAAACCGTGAGTGGGCCCGATGGCACGCAGGTGACCACTCCATGGAAGAGGTCAGTTGCCAAGGTTAGGGGGAAAAAGCTCCTCCCCAAAAGCATGTAAAACATACCTATCAAAAAACAAAGGGCTGTAAATGTCTTTATTTCTCTACCCATTCAATGGCTGTTGAGTTCTCACAGGCACGAGGCAGACGCCAGCTAGCATACCACTTTCCGCAGCATGACTTGAGTCCTATCTGTGTACTTACTACCTGGGTGGCTGGCATCAGTGCAGGTTCCGGCACGACTAGGAACCTGTGACCAAACGCATACACAGCACGGACGGAGGATCGCTGGCCTTCGGGTGGACCAGACCGCAAAGGAGACACTGACCGCGTGGAGAGAACAGCCGGGCAGGCGGGGCTGCGGCCCGTGCCCAGAATCCAGGCCGCAGGCTCCTCGCGCCGCCGCCGCCGCTCCCCGCGGAACCAGTGCGAGTAGCAGCGCTGGATCTCGGGCGCCAGTAGAATGATCAATTCTCGCCCTGGCAGCGCCGCTGAGCCGGCCTCGCATCCCCGCCACCCTCACCGTTCAAGTGCGCGGGCCGCGCGTTGGCATCAGGGAACTCCAGGCCGGCCAGCGCCCGGCCAAAGCCGGCGGTGTAGCTCTGTGACTTGGGTTCTTCCGCCCCCGCCGCCCCCGCCCGGGTGCCTAGCGGCAAGCGGTTCTGCTGCTGGTACGTGGCGCACGGCCGCAGCGCGCCCACCGCCTGCACCTGAGGGACGCTCTGGCTCCCCGGCACCTGGAGGCTGCGATGGGAGCCTGGCCGTCGCCGCCCAAATGCCCGCCGCCGGTCCGAGGCTCGCGCGCTCCTTGAGCTTGAGCACCGGCTCGGTGGGCAGCCGGCCCCGCGGGTCTCGCGAGCCCTCGGCCTCTGGCCTACCCGGCGGCCGCTTGATCTTGGAGGCAGCGGGGGAGGCTTCGCGGCGCCGTTGCTGCTGAAGCGCTCCTGCTCGCGGATCAGGTAGTAGCGGATCACCTCCTCGTGGAGGTGGTGCTGGTGGCTGGTGAGCAGCAGGCCCGCGAAAATGAACTTTTGCTCGCCCTGCACGGCGGCGTGCAGGATGTTGAGCTCAACTTCACGTCCATGCTGTACTTCCCAGCTGTCGCCGCGGAGCCTGCCGCCTTGTACGTGGGCGACGGCGCGGTCTTCTCTAAGGACACCCACGACCACGTCACGATATAGCCCAGGATCTGGACTCTGGAGCCATACTACCACCGACTGACACTTGTGCCATCAGTGACACGGCGACCTGCCTTGGGAGCCTGTGAAGACGAGATACACGAAAATACTGAAGGAGGAAAGCGCCCCGGGGAAGTACCTACCTGTCCTGGGTACTGGCTGTGTGCCAGCCGTGCCCCTCACTTGCTTTCCTCTTGAAACTTAAACAGTTCTGGTTACGGGACTTCCCTGGTGGTCCGGTGGCTAAAACTCCGAGCTCCCAGTGCCGGGGTCCCAGGTTGGATCCCTGAACAGGGAACTAGATCTCCCCTGCTGCAACTAAGATTCGGTGCAGTTAGTGCAGTCGCTCAGTCGTGTCCGACTCTTTGCGACCCCGTGGACTGCAGCACCGCCAGGCTTCCCTGTCCATCACAGACTCCCGGAGCTTGCTCACACTCATGTCCACAGAGTCGGTGATGCCATCCAACCATCTCATCATCTCATTTATATTTGACACGGTGCAGCCAAATATAAAATATTTTTTAAAATATTGGATAGGAGACCAATTATTTGTAAGCTTCTTCTTCTTTTTTTTTTTTTTAAAGCAAATCCCTTTTCATGGGACTTTACTATTGAGATCGCGCGCGCGCGCGCACACAGAATCAGTCAGATACTTAGAGCATCCGGGGGCAGATCGAACATGGGTTCTCGCTGAGGAAACGGGGGTGGAGGTGCAGGGGTGTGGGAGGCACCTTTCTCACTGCCCTCCCTTCCCGGGAGGAGGAGAAGAGAAGGAGGTGTGCCCAAGAATTACTCCCTCGGTTCCTAGCTTTTTCCAAGGACCCACACAGTGTTATAATTAATTCCTCTTCGTGGCAGCATATCGTGTTCCGATCTCGGCAGAGAGAGTTTTGTGTTATGACTTGCCTACGGTTTGTTTTCTGCGTAGGCATGTTTATGCCTCTCCCTCTGGAGAAACTAAAGGGGACAAAAACTCCCCTAGCTGGAGCACGCGCCTACGTCCAGACCCGCCGGCACACACGCGCACAGGCACGCGTTCCAGACAGAGCCCGGGCGGCGGCGGCCGAGTGCAGGCCTGGGAGGCCCGGCGTGGAGGAGGATGCGCCCCGCCCTCCGGTCCGTCCCTGCGCGCGCCAGGCTTTCCCCGGTCTCGGAAGGGATCCATAACCGCGTCACATTCATGCAGCTGCGAAGAAGGTCCAGCTTAGCTTCTAGCGACAGGATCGGATTGGTGTTTGTAGAGAGGCACACCGAGTGAGACGGAACCCAGCTCTCCCTGGTGTACCCCGCCCGCCCGCAGGCGGGCCAGCCCCAGGCACCGCCCCCAGCCTCTCCCCGGAAACGGGTGACAGTCTGCCGCCCTGTAGGGCGCTCGGGGAGGCGGCATAGGGTAGGATCTTACTAGGCCCGCCTGGCGGGCGTTTTCCCACCCTCAGTCCTTCCCAGGGTCCACTGCAAAGTGCAGAGTCCCTCAGAGGAATCCCGGCTGGAACGCAAAAGAGAGAGACCTGTGCCAGGTGACCCAGGAGGAGACGGAGGCTCAGAGCCCCTGCAACCCTCACTGAGGACAGGAAAGGGCCACAGAGACCAGATGTCTCCGTGATTAAAGAAACTGTATGGAGGGCTTCCCGGAGGAAGCGCCAAGGCAGGCGTCACAAGTTCAATCCCTGGGTGGGGAAGATCCCCTGGAGGAAGAAATGGCAACCCACTCTAGTATTCTTGCTTGGGAAATCCCATGGATAGAGGAGTCTGGTGGGCCACAGTCCAGGGATTCCTAGAGTCAGAGATGACTGAGAATGCGTGCGCACGCGCGCGCACACACACACACACACACACACACCTTAATTTAAAGGGAAATTTCATTAAGTGATGCTAGGTTTCCAATTGAATGATTGCTTAATCTCAAAAGATAAGAATACCCAGAAAGGGCCTCCGTGTTGGCTCAGTGGTAAAGAATCTGTCTGCCAATGCAGGAAATACAGGTTCGATTCCTGATCTGGGAAAATCCCACATGCAGTAGAGCAACTAAGCCCAAAACCGCAGCTTTTGAGTGTGTGCTCTGCAACAAGAGAAGCCACCACAATGACAGGCCCTTCCACCGCAAGTAGAGAGTAGCCCCTGTTCGCCACAACTAGAGAAAAAACCTGTGCAACAAGGAAGACCAGCACAGCCAATAAAAAGAATAAGAAGGAAACCAAATGGAGGTGTACACAGAACCCCTGCATCTGTAGGGGCATTATGGCTGGAGCTTTCAAAACCACCACTAACCGTTTTAAGTATTTCCTTTCTACTGTGGACGCTAAAGAACTGTTGGAGACATCACCTGGCTGAGACGTGGGCTGAAAAGCAGGTGCCCTCCTTGGGCAGCAGACCAAGAAAGCTGTTACTGCTGCTGCAGTTTCTGAGGAAGGACCTGGGTCAGATGGGGCACCACGCATGGTCACCCAGGAGGGGTCTTGGGGCCAAGCCTGCCCATCTCCTCCCAGAGAATGGGAGAGAGGGCTGGCGGCCCACCTGCTCCTACATTCATTCATTCAGCAAATGTGTGTCAGTGCGGGACCCAGGGATCCGGGGACCCTGGCCAGAGGAGCTCACATTCTGTACCCGGGACAGGATAGGCAGGTGACAACTACTCAGCTGTCAGGTGGTGAACTGCAGACCTAGGGAGATTTGGCAAGCCTTTCTAGAGCAGGCCGGCCAGCAAGCCTTCCCATGAGAGAATGTGTAGATGGACAAGGCAGTGACGACGAGAGATGGGCCCCTCTCTGCCCCAATGGATTGATTTAGGTTGGGGGGAGGAACCTGGGCCCACATCAGAAAGGCTGGGGCGGAGGCCCGTGTTTGCAGGTTTGTCCGGGATCTGCAGGGCGCTTCTGGGCCTGGTGAGATCAGCACCCTAGTGATGTGCTGACCCCTGTTGTCAGGGGGAGAGAGAGTGGGAGTCACCCCATTTCTGCCCTTGAACAGAGCGGCAGCCTCACTGGGGGGTGGGAGGGAGGTGCACTAAGATGCCCTGCAGACCTCCTGCATGGCAGGCCCAACAGAGCAGCACAGCCTGGGGCCTGGCCAGGCCACTGCTTGGTTTGCTGGAGGCAGGCTTCCCGGCTCTGTGCCAGCCACTGGTGGAGAACTGGGTGTGAAGTTCTGCTGGGGATGGGACATGTGGGTGCAGGGTCTTGTTGCAGCCTCACACAGACCCTGCCAGGACCTCCACCAAGAGGTCTCACCTCTGCTGTCCCACTGGCTCAGGCGGCGGGTGTGGCTGGGTCCCTTCATCATTGGGGAAATGGATGAGGAGCTGACAGCTGGTGAGGGGAGGGGGACTCCCTGTTTCGGGCTCACCCTCACCTGTTCCTTCCCAGGAGCACCTCTCTCCCATCCTGACTGAGCACCTGAGGTTTCCTGCATGCTGCTTCCTTTGGCACCAAGAACCTCATCTCCAACACTGAGCCCCCGGGCACCACTCTAGGAAGTGGGGGACAGGGCTCCTGCCGAGGTTTACCTGACGTCATCTTCCTTACTCCTCCTCCCCTTCCCCACCCCCAGGTGCTGGCCTTGAGTCTGGTGTCATTTCCCCAAGATTCATGGCAAGAGTGTCATAGCATAAAAAGAGAGGCAAATCAATAAATAATAAATACATAAAAATCCAAGATCGAATACCATGAATAGTGGATTTTCTTGTAAATCGGAAACACTGGCTCAGTGCTGCCCTCTAGTGTTGACAAAGTTACACAGACAATCCTCTTCACCGACTCCATCCAACTCATCCCGACCCCCACACCCCTCCCCCCATAAGGGAAAAACCGGTTTGCCCCCGGATTTTCCTTTTTAGGTGGATGGAGCTGGGCGGCACTGTGCTCAGGTTTGGGAGATAAGGGCGGCTTGCCCTGCCTCGGCCGCAGACTGGCTATGTCCTGCCTTGGTGTGGCGTGACACACAGGCCGCCCTTCCCAGGGTTGAGCTGCGGCGAGTCAACGCCCAGGAAGACTGCGGGCTGGCTCCCAAACAGCCGCCCTTGGACCACACCCAGGAGCTACTCCCAAAGTTCCAAGAGTCACCACGACAACAGAGAGGGTTGGCCCAGCATCCCACCCATGGGTGGGGGCAGGGGGTAGAGGCTCGCTCTGTAGATGGGGCGCATGGCTCCCTGGAGCGCTTGGTAAAGGCGCCCAGTGCAGGCCCCCACACAGAAGGCAACCCAACCAGAGTGTCTAGGAAACGGACCCAAGGACTATTTTTTTCTTTTGAACTTTTTATTTTGTATTGGGGTCTAGCCGATTAACAGTTTCAGGTGAATGGGACTCAGCCTTACATATACATGTATCCATTCTCCTCCAAACTCCCCTCCCATCCAGGCTGCCACATAACATTGAGCAGAGTTCCATGCCAAGTACTCTAAATAAGCATCCTCTATGGATCTTCAAATCAAGCCAATCTGGGAAACATTGTTCTAGAACAGTCATCTGTTAGTAGCAGTTTCTGTGGGTTCCACATGGGTTTATGACTGTCATGCATGGCAGGTGATCCAGGGGCAGCAGGTACAGGTTTTACCCTCTAGCACAGTTTGCTAGTGACGTGTTTTAAACTTCTAATTCATTTTATTTTATTTTGTATTGTCTTTAAAGGAACATCAAGTGGGGTTCGACCCCAAGTTAAACAGTGTATTTTCCTTTGTCTCTCAAAGGGGTATATCATGCTTTAATTTAGCACTAAAGCATCCCATCCGTGAAGGAAAACCTTGAAGCAGAGACATATGAGCCCACAGGGAGATGTGAAACAAGAGTTGACTAAACTCAGGGGAAAAACAAAAAAAAGGTTAAAATAATTTCAGAGATGAAATTCAGTTATAAGGGAGCAGAGAGAGAACAGGGACAGCCAGTATAGTAAGGACGGTAAAAAAGGAAAATTAGTAAAGTGAACAAAATAGAAGAGTAATAAACTAAAGACTACAATCAAATGGCACAGACGAGACTGGCGGTAAAGAAGGGCTTCCTAGGTGTCTGCCTATGAGGGCAGGAGAGGCAAGAGACACAGAAATAGGGGTTCAATCCCTGGGTCAGGAAGCTCCCCTGGAGGAGGACGTGGTAACCCACTCCATTGTTCTTGCCTGGGAAATCCCATGGACATAGAAGCCTGGTGGGCTACAGTCCATGGGGTTTCGAAGAGTCGGACACGACTTAACAACTAAACAACAGCAACAATCACCATGCACATATATTCGGCTTTATCTCATCATTTCAGAAAAAAACTGCTTGCACACAAATGTAAATACTAAAAGAATTTAAAATGTACAATCCCCTTAATATCCTTTCATTAATTAAGAAGAAACAAAATGAGGGATATATGTATAAAGAGAGCTGATATACGTTGTTGTACAGCAGAAGCTAACACAATATTATGAAGCAAGTATAATCCAACAGTAAAATTTTTTTAAATAATTAAAAGAATAACATAAAAATATATGATGTCTGTGTTGGAAAAGAAGAGACAACAACGGTTACCCATCGTAGAGTGATCTTGGGTATTCAATCAGGGAAGAGTGGAGGAGAATCAAAAGCAGAGAAGACGGCAGTTTAAAAGAGAAATCTAAGACCGGCACTCACAGATGTAGCCTTTCCAAAGAGAGAACTTCTGACGTAAACACTCGATCTACAAACTGAAAGGGCACACTGTACATAAGGAAACTGTCCTAACATAATCAACACCACGATATAGCCTCATAACATTATTAAGTTTTAAAGATAAAGAGAATTATTTGAATATGTTAGCTACAAAGAAAGTCAGGCTGGTAACATACTTCTTGGCAACCAAATTCAATGCCTGAAGACACAGGGGCCCACCTTTACAAGATACTGAAAGAAACAAAGAGGTGTGAGCTGAGAAATGTTTATACCCATCTAGGCTATTTCTTCATGGATAAAGGCTATGGACACATCATTTAAAAACATGTATGGGTTCTAGAAATACTAGTCAAATGGATGGGTCTTTCATGAGAAGATGACTAGAAGATGAGTTCCAGTGGGTCAAGAACAAATGGAGTTTTGGTAAAAGGCAGTTGAGGCAAAGGGTGCATCCTATCACAGGGGCCAGAATGGGCAGGCAATGCACCCATGTCCCCACAAGAGGGAGGCAGATGGCCAGGCATAGTCTGTGAACAGCATGAACAAAAAGGATGTAAAATTGACATACATGAAAAATAGCCTTCATGCAGAAACGAAAGCCGGATGCTTTTAAATTGTGGTGCTGGAGAAGACTCTTGAGAATCCCTTGAACTAGCAAGGAGATCAAACCAGTTAATCCTAAAGGAAATCAACCCTGAATATTCTTTGGAAGGAATGATGCTAAAGGACTCATTGGCCAATACTTTGGCCACCTGATGCAAAGAGCAGACTCATTGGAAAAGACCCTGATGCTGGGAAAGATTGAGGGAAGGAGGAGAAGGGGATGACAGAGGATGAGATGGTTGGATGGCATCACCAACTCAATGGACATAGTTTGCAAACACTAGGAGATGGTGAAGGACATAAAGGATATAGGCATGCTGCAGTCCATGGGGTCACAAAGAGTAGGATACGACTTCATGACTGAACAACGACAAGAAACAAAAGGAAGTTAGAAGACATAATGAAAGAGCATATTTCATTTATAATGTCAATGAGATGTGTGAAACACATATATGGGGAAATGATACTATGAGCAAAAGGTGCAAAAGTAGAACCTCACACCCTATGTCCTAAATGTGGAAGACTTTGTACTCATTGTTTCTTCCTAAGTTCATTTGTAGATTTAACATGATCACATAAGATAGAAGCACTTTTTTTTCTTCTTGCAGTCAGACAAGCTGACTTTAATGTTTACTTGGAAAACTAAATGAGAAGCTCTATATGGTAAAAGATGCTTCCCTAGTGGCTCAGATGGTAAAGAATCTGCCTACAATGAGAAGACCCAGGTTCGATTCCTGGGTCGGGAAGATCCCCTAAAGGGAATGGCTATTCACTCCAATGTTCTTGCCTGGAGAATCCCATGGACAGAGGAGCCTGGTGAGTCCATGAGGTCTCAAAGAGTCGGACACAACTGAGTGACTAACACTTTCACTTTCATACTGTAAAAAAGAAAACAAAAAGATAAAAGTGTCAATAACACATACACTGTGAATTTCAGACACAAGAGATCAAATTGACACTATTATGAGAAACACTGGGCACAGAGACAAAGGGTGAGGGGGTTCAGAATAACCCCCAGGGACACGGGCACATGAGGCTGGACTCTAGACTTGACTCTGTGCTCACTATTGCCACCTGCTCCCCTCCCATCACTGCCTGAGCCACCACCCCCATTATGTCCTAGCCTGGCGTCCTGGTCTGACCCACCAGATCAGGTGCTAATTCCTTGAGGACTGGGGGACTCAGGGTGGGAAGTGCTGGCTGACAGGGAGGGGTGCTTTGATGACAGGCATGGGGCACCTGCTCTCACCCTTGGTGGCAGGACACTTCCCACCAAATCTAAGACAGCAGGAGGGCATGGAGGCCTGTCCCCACCCACTGATCCCATCCTACAAGGTTCAGGGACTGACTCAGTCCACTCCAGAGGTGAAGACTGGCAGTCTGCAGGTTACAAGTGACCCGCAGGTGGGTTTTGTTCAGCTGACACATCTTGGCATTTTAAAGAGTTGTCAACATCTGTAAATCAGGACTTTCTGTTTAAAATCCAGATTTCTGGTTCCTTTTTACATAAAGTCAGAAGAGCTGGTGGTGCTGGGCCTGCCTGCCCGGCAGCGGCTCTCCTGAGGTCAGACCTCTAGTCTCTCAGGCAACCCTGGTCCCTTCACATGTCTGCCTGGCCCTGGAGCACCAAGCCCTTCCAATGATACTTAATTCCTTTTCAGCCAACCAAGACTGAGGACAATGCTGGGCCATCATCTCTGGACCTCCCATCTCTCACAGTGTCTTTAAACGTTAACTGTGAGGGACTTCCCTGGCAGTCCAGTGGTTAAGACTCTGCACTCCCACTTCAGGGGCTGTCGGTTTGATCCCTGGTTGGGGAACTAAGATCCTAGATGCTGAGCAGCATGGCCAAGAAAAAAAGAAGAAAAACAAAAAGTGCACGTGGCATCCTGGAAGCTTGAAAGTCCACTGGGCTTTGCTCTTTCTAGCCCAATGTGGCTGGAGCATCTAGTGCAGGAGGGGATGGGTAATCAAGACCAGAGAGGTAGACTGAAGCAAGATCAGGCCAGGACCAGACAGGTCTTGTTAAGCTGTTTGCACCTGGGACTTTATCCTGAGGCAGTGGACAACCTTGGAGAGTTTTAAGGGAAATAGCAGAAAGATGGTACTGGCTATAAAGATCTCCCCAGACCACTAAGGAGTGGGGTTTAGCTTC